TTCGAGTCCCACATTGAGCATAGAGATGACCTAAAAATAAAATCTTTTGGGGCATCTGGGTAGCTCAGTCACAAAAGCGTCGGACTCTTGATTTTGGCTCAGATCATGATCTCAGCGTCATGAGATCGAGCCCCACATCAGGCTCCACAGTGAGTGTGGAGCCTGCTTGGGATTATTTTTCTCCCTTTCCCTCTGCCCCTCCCTGCCCCACTCACATTCTCTCTGCTCTCTCTCTCTCTCTCTCTAAAATAAAATAAAATCTTAAAAAAAAAAACCCTAATCTGAGGTCCATTCTCCACTTCCCCCAAATCCTCCCTCAGCCTCAGCCCCCTTCAGTCCTACCCACTGTAGTGTGACTCGTGGAGGCGTGCGACATAGAATGAAAGAGAGTCCCAGAGAGCCAAGAAGAGACAGTGTCTGAGAAAGACTTACAGGGAGAGGGAACCAGAAAGAAAGAGAAAAAGCACAGCGATAATTAGAGACAGAACAGAAGTTAGAGACCCAGAAAGGCAGAGGGTGAGAGAACAAGAGAGACAGAGACATAGATACCAAAAGATCCAGAGGCAGAAGCAAAGTGGGACACACAGAATTTCAGAGACAAACCGCAAGAGACAGAGAATGGGAGAACTCCAGCCCAGAACAGAAAGGACCTTGCCTGGGGTCACATGACCCGTCAGGGGCAGAAATGAACTTGAACCCAGAGAAATAGAGCGAGTGCCCCAAACACCGAAAAGACCCTGCCCCAATCCCTGGCTCATTTTGCCGAGCCCCAAAACCCCAGATCAGACCCAAAACCAGACCCAAATGGCAAAAAAAAAAAAAAGGAAAAAATTTGGGGTGCCTGGATGGCTCAGTCAGGCAAGCCTCTAACTCTTGATTTCGGCTCAGGTCATGATCTCAGGGTCATGAGATGGAGGCCAGCATCAAGGTCACGCTGGGGGTGGAACCTGCTCAGATACTCCCTCTCTCTCTCTCTCCCTTTCTCCACGCTCCCACACCACCCCACCCCCGTGAATAAATAAATACAATCTTTAAAGAAAAGAATGGAAAAGATTTTGTCCTACTCCAGGGCAAATGGCCACCATCGACCACAGTAAGGAGAGCTGGGGTCAGCCTCAAAGAGGCCACTGGGGGGCTCCCAAGGGGTAACCACTCCAGGCATCACTCCAGCTGGCTGCGAGCCCTGAGCCACCACCCCGCAAGGTAAAGCAAGCAAATGGAAGGGATTAAAAGTCATTGGGAAAACTCGAGGCGGGGGATGGGGGCAAGGGGTGTGGGCAGAGATGATTTAAGGGCAGCCCCCACCCCCCCAGGCATCCGCAGAGCTGCAGGGCACTGACCTGGAGCAGATCACACTTCTGCTGCCCGGAAGCTCAGCAGGTAAAGGGCCAGGTGCAGGTCACAGAGGAGGATGGCTCTCACGACAGGGCTCATCGGCTTCATCTCCCTTCAGTCTCTAGACTGCCTGGGATCTCCCTTGTCATCTCCTCCGACGGTCCTTGAGGTCCGTGGGCTTGTCTTTCTGGGGCTTTCTCTGTCTCTGTGTTCGTTCATTCACCCAGATTTTAGAGCCCTGAGCGGGGCTGGGCACCGGCTAGTACCAGCGTTTACCCAGCAGGGGGCACCTCTCTCTGCACTGAGCCCCTGGGTTCAGAACCCCTGATTCTTTTCCCTCTGCTTCTGCTTCTGCCCTCTCTCTCTCAGTCTGTCTTGGTCCCTGTCTCTGCGCATCTCTGTGTAATGTTCCATGTGTGTGTCTGTGTGTCTGTCTCTGTGCATCTCTCCTTTGTGTCTGTCACTCTCTCTTTCCCTCAGTCTCTGTTTAGCTCTTTATTTCCTGCCCTTTCTCTTTCAGTGTCTGTCTGTATGTCTCTCAGGAAGCATGTGTCTCTCTGTCTCTCTAACTCTCTCTTCTGCCTTTCTCTAGTTCTCTGTCTTCATTTGTCTGTCTCTGGCCCTGTGTGTCTCTATCTCTGATCACTGTCCCTGTGTGAGATTTAGTCTATGAGAGCTGATGACTGACAGACAGACAGATAGATAGGTGATAGGCGTACATTTATAGATACTTAGATAGCTCGCTTGGTTTTTTCCGTATCCCTCATTATCTCCACGTGTCTCTCTCTCTGTCTCTGTTTGTTGCTGTCTCTCTTACTGTCGATCTCTCTGCATTTTGACTGTCTCTGCCTCTGCTGTCTGCCTCTCTCCGTGTGTGTCCTCTCTCTCTCTCCCTCTCCTCCTCCTCCTTTCTCTTCTCTCATTCTTTGGCCTTCCCCTCGCCCTGTCTCCTCTCTTCTCTTCACCTGCCCTCACTTCTAAGGTCTGGGGAAGGCAAGTCCCAGAAGATGCAGAGTGAAGGGATCCCACTCCATTCCCAGTCCTGCCCTTTCCCACTCTGCCCCCCAGATACCTGCGGCTGCTTTCACCATGGACAGTCTGAGCATAGCCATCTTGCTCGGGCTCCTGGCTCTCACCAGTCTGTTCCTGATCCTCAGTTCAAGGGGCAAGGACCGGTTGCCCCCAGGCCCCAGGCCCCTCCCATTCCTAGGAAACCTGCTGCAGCTTCGCTCCCAAGACATGCTGACCTCTCTCACCAAGGTGCAGGGACCTAGGCTTGGAGGAGGGGGGAAGAACTGGGGGAGGGGGTCTCAGGGCCCCAGATGCCCCTGTGACGTCTGTCTTCCTACCCCCAGCTGAGCAAGGAGTATGGCTGTGTGTACACGGTGCACCTGGGGCCCAGGCGAGTGGTGGTCCTCAGCGGGTACCAAGCTGTGAAGGAGGCCCTTGTTGACCAAGGGGAGGATTTTAGTGGTCGTGGTGACTACCCTGTCTTTTTCAACTTCACTAAGGGCAATGGTAAGCCTGTCCGCCATCTTCTCCATCCCAACACATTCCACACTGAGGGAGGGGATAAGGGTAGGAGACTGTCCTCCCAGTTTTAGTGACACTCAGGGCTGCTGATCTTACCAATGACACTAGGTAGGATGGACCCAGACAGTGTTAGTCTAGGTAGAGTCTGGTCCACCTTCCCCATCCCCACATCCCACCACCATCTTGAAATGCACTTCCACACCAATATCCGCTTCCATCCAATTCCAACCCCATTCTCATCCCAATCCCTACCTCTAGCCTAACCACATCACCAAATTTCCATCTCTGTCAAGTGGCCAAATTATCTGGCCCAGCCCACGTTACCCACCTCAACCTAGTCCTCGTCAACCCTACCTCCGTGTTCCCCATTCCAACCTCAACTTCATCTTTATCTGCAACACTGATTCCTCTCCCTCCCTCCCTCCCTCCCTCCATTCCCATTATGAACCCCCTCCCAGTTCCCACGTTAAAATCTGTTATCAACCTCATCCTAACCCTTCGGTCAAACTGAACTCCACCATCATTCCCCTCCCCTGCCCCCATCTTCCATCTCAATCACCTATTGAGGTCTTCAGTCCCTGGTTCCATTTTCAACCCTAACCATCAACAAAACCAACCTTGACATATATCTACCCAAGCCCAAACTCAACCGTAATCTACCAGTCCTTCCCATTCTACACAATTCCATTCCCATCAGTGACCTCAAACGCAATTTATCATGAGTCCCATAATCCCCCCTCATCCTCTGTCATCATCCCCATCCCAATCCAAACCCAGATCCACCCATCCAGCAACTCACATCAACTCCAAACCTCTTCTGTCTCAATATCCTGTCCCCCTTACAGTTGGAAATCACCTAGTCTTGTGGGTTTTCTTTTTTTTTTTTTAACATTAATCTTTTATTCAAAGGAAGCCATATGACAAGTCTCAGTAAATGACAAAGGAGAGAAAGAGTAAGCTGGCAGAAAGTTGCAGAGATCCTGAAGACTTGCTCCTTGGACTACTCTTCTCCCCCTAAAAAAAGCCCTAGGGTTCTCCCCTGTCCCCTTGATTAGATGGGTCCCAGCTGCTCCAGAATTTGGAAGTAAAGAGCTTTGGCTAAAAGCAAAAACCCACCTATTGTGTATTAAAGATACTTTCCACCTTCATGTCCCCTTCCTGGGCTTGATCTTATGACCTCACCTGTCCAGGTACAGGTGGCTTGGACAAGTGGCTTCCTCTCTCTGACCATGAGTTGGCTAGCATGAGAAAGTTGTTACAAGTCAATGAGATAATGCAGACAATAAAAGGCAATCACTAAGTTTTTTTTTCTTCTTTAGCATCTAGTTCTCTGCTTGCTCCAGGGAAATCAGAGATAAACACACCAGAGACCTTAGCCTACTGTAGTCCCATCAACAGACTATGACCACCTACAGTGGTCAGGGCTGGGTGGGGGATGCTAGGGAAACTGTGGGAGCCCAGAGGAAACACCTGAGGCAGGGAGGGAGGGAGAGCCAGCAAGGGCTTCCTGGAGGAAAGGAGCTCTAAGTTGAGACCTAAAAGATGAAGGTCACCAGTCAGGAGCAGACAGAAGGTGAAGAGTGTTCTGGAAGAAGGACCAGCCTATGCAAAGACACTGAGAACAGGGAAAGAAGAGAACAGAGTCTTGTTCCTGAATGAGGTCCCAATGTCTCAGTGTTTATTTTTCTTGCTTTTCTTCCTTATTTGAGTTTTCATTAATTAATAAGGAATCATCAGCACCTCCCATGGGGTAAGCTCTGTGCTGGACAATGCTAGAACACAATGATGACCAAGATAGCCCCTCCCTCCCTTCCTCCACTCCCACCTTCACAGCCTAACCATCAGGCTATGATAATCCAGAGTGATCAGATCTGTGAGAGGGAAACTGAGGCAGAGTGATCAGGACTATGGTGACAAAGCCCAGGGCCCTGTGGAAGCTCAGAGATGGCACCTGACCCAGCCTGGAGGGTTGGGTAGAACTTCCCAGGAAGGGGAGATTCCAAATTCTCAGTCTCTCTTCCAGCAGTCTTGGGGACAAGTCATCAGTTAAGCTGTCCCCTCCCCTCTCTCCAGGCATCGCCTTCTCCAACGGGGACCGGTGGAAGGTCCTGAGGAGGTTCTCTGTCCAGATTCTGCGGAACTTCGGGATGGGGAAGAGGAGCATTGAGGAGCGGATCCTGGAGGAAGGCAGTTTCCTGCTGGCAGAGCTAAGGAAAACTGAAGGTTGGGGTCCCGGAACGTTAGTTGATACCCCTAACTCACACCCATCCTACCTAGTGGTCAGGACTGCCTTATAGTGTAGACACGAACTCAAAACCCTTGGAGGCTCCCCACTTGGCCCAAAGTGAGAGTGGCGCCCCCTGGAGGTGGATCGGCTTCCCGTGGGCGTTCCTGGAGGTTCGGCGACTGGATAGGGTGCGTGGTGGCCGCTCTCTTGCGCTGTCTCTGTGCGGTATTTTTAAAAAGGATTTATTTATCAGAGAGAGAGAGAGAGAGAGAGTGGGCAGGAAGGGGCAGAAGGAGAAACTCTTCAAGCCGACTCCCTGCTGAGGGCGGGGACCCACATGGGGCTCGATCTCCTAACCCTGAGATCAAGACCTAAGTGGAAACCCAAATTACGTCCATCTAACTCCAGACTCAGTTTCCTGGGCCATGCTGTTGTGGTGGTGGCTAATGTGTTATTTTCTGCCGTCTGTTCGGTCATCGGATCATTGGATATCAGATGTTGTGCTGCGTGCCATTGCTGGGTGAGGTCCTAGTGTTTTCAGGAGCCGATGCGATATCATACTGGGCTGCATATTGTATACATGTTGTTTTGTGTGGTGTGTGCTGTGTGTTGTATCATGAAGAATAGCCTGTTCCGTTGTTGGGTGGTGGTGTTATTGTGCGGAAGGATGTTGTGGGCTCTGTCCTGCCTGGTGTGTTGCCAAGGACTCGCGGGGAGCTACGCTCACTGCAGGTCAGGTGGCCAAGGACATTTCTTCTGTGCTGCGAGTCACCCTGGCATGGTTGGGTTGGATGTTGTGCGCTCTGGCGCCTCTCGGGGTCTGGGGTGTTGCACGATGCACCCCCTGACCCACTCCGCCCCTCATTCTCAGGCAAGCCCTTCGACCCCACGTTTGTGCTCAGCCGCTCCGTGTCCAACATCATCTGCTCTGTGATCTTCGGCAGGCGCTTTGACTACGACGATGAGCGTCTGCTCACCATTATCCGCCTCATCAATGACAACTTCCAAATCATGAGCGGCCCCTGGGGAGAGGTCAGGACGCCGAGATCGGGCGGGACAGCGTGGGGGGTTCTTCCAGTCCTCGGAAAAGGGAAACCGCGGGTGGGAAGAGAAAGGATGTGATGGACTCTGTGTGGTCCCGCCCCTTCCCTCTGGCTCCTCCCCCGCGTCGCACCACGCGGTCCAGCCAAGGTCGATCTCCCCACCTAGTTGCCACCGACACCCAGAGCCCCCGCCCCACCTCGGTCTCTCCAGAACCCAGCTGACCCACAAGACCCCAGCCTACCAGCTCCACCCCGACCTCACTGGCAAACCATCCCCACACACACCCAGACACACATTCTACCTGATCCTCCAAACCCCTCTCGCTCTCCCTCATCCCCAGTTGTACAACATCTTTCCGAGCCTCCTGGACTGGGTACCCGGGCCGCACCAACGCCTTTTCCAGAACTACGGGTGCATGAAGGACCTCATCGCCCGCAGCGTCCGCGACCACCAGGACTCCCTCGACCCCAACTCTCCCCGGGACTTCATTGATTGCTTCCTCAACAAGATGGCACAAGTAAGCCTGGGCTGGAAGTCTCATCTCTGGTCTGACTTGCCGCCCCCGCCGGAAACCAACAAGGATCCCGGTTGCAGCGGGTTTGAGAATGATCTTCCTACAACTGGCGGGTGAAGTTGGAACACCTGGCTCGGCTCGGAACCCAGAGCCACTCGGGACCCACCGCCAATTAACAGCTCGTTAAGAAGCCCTTAAGGATCTGTTAACTGTGGGCGCTGGGCAGAGATTTTCTCTACCCAGTCCTTCCACGCTCCCCAGCTTCCCCGGGGAAAGAAAGTTAAACAGAGGAAGGACTGAACGGACACACCCAGCAGGAGTCGCGCCCATCTGTGGGGAGCGGGTCGCACAGACTCCGAGCCCGTGGTCAGTGTCCGGGCGGGATCTCCCTGCCCCGGGCTCATTTCCCCACCCCTCAACCCCCGCAGGAGAAGCAGGACCCGCACAGCCACTTCCACATGGATACCCTGCTGATGACCACACATAACCTGCTCTTTGGCGGCACCGAGACTGTGGGCACTACGCTGCGCCACGCCTTCCTTGTGCTCATGAAGTATCCAAAAGTGCAAGGTGCGCGCGCCCCAAGCCTGGCCCGGGGATCCTGCACACAGGGCCGCGGGGCACAACCGCTGCGCACTCGTGCCCCACAAGCCTCAACTCGCCTATGTCTCAGCCCCACCCACAACCATGGGCACGGCTCCGCCCAGCATGCCAAATAGCCCAGGCCTGCAGTTTACGCCCGAGACGCCCCACCCTCTAGCCAAGTCCACAAACCCACACTGAGGCCGACGCCATCCCCATGGCTCCCGCGGTCCACCAAGTCCGCCGGAACCTGGACCTCGTCCTCGTGGTCTTGCTTTGCGATCCACCCCAACCCTGACCACATAGCGAGTCCCCATCTCACAGTAGGCTAGAGCCTGGCCCCGAGGCTCACCAGCAGGGCCAGCCAGAAATCACCCGTCTGACCCTCACAGTCTGACCACCCGCCCACACAGCACAGTCTGGGACCCCACCTCTCCAAACCCCGCCTCTGGGCGGATCCCGGAACCCTGGACTCCAAGCACTGCCCCATCCCGTATCTCTCCAGGCTTTCGCACTACCCACCCACTCGACCTAAAACTCCATGCGGCCTAGTCTTCGAACGCCGACCGCAGTCCCATCCGGGGCCTGGATCCCAGGCAGCCCTTAAAGCCCCGCCCGCACAACCCCGCACAACCCCAAAATTTGGTTGCCCCTTACACCAACCAAATTTTTGTCCTCAGCTACGTCTCCCAAACCAACCCTTCCCTTTGAGACTCCTGCTAACCATCACAGTCATCTCTGTAACCGCGTCCCTACTGGGAAACGTTGGTTGGACCCCGCCCACACATGCACACGCCTCTGCCCAGCCCAGTTGAGGCCGCCGGGACCCTTGACTAACGCTTCAGGCCCCACCTCCAGCCCGCGTACAGGAGGAGATCGACCGCGTAGTGGGTCGCGCGCGGCTGCCGGCGCTGGAGGACCGCGCGGCCATGCCTTATACAGATGCGGTGATCCACGAGGTGCAGCGCTTCGCAGACGTCATCCCCATGAACTTGCCGCACCGCGTCACTCGGGACACAGCCTTTCGCGGCTTCCTGATACCCAAGGTGTGCTGGGCACCTGGCAATGGAGGTCTGGCACACTAGGAAGAGGCATCCCCGACTTGCCAATGGCATCCGGGTCTCTAGCGAGGAGGATCCCAGTACCTGGAGCCTTAGTGACTGGCATCCCAAGCCCTAGCAACAGATATCTGAGGCTCTTAAATCCAGAACCTCAGAACCCTTCCCAGGACCCATTCAGTACTATAATGGACTGAACCTCAGACCCTTCCCCATGACAGTTCCCCTTCCTGGGACCCCTGTCCAGCATCCCCAGGGTCTAAGACTTCATCCTAGGGACGCCCTGTGCCTAAGCACGGTTCTGAAAGAACTCTCCCTATTCCTAGAAATCCCATATCTGCTCTGACAAGGGGCGATATCCCCCATCCCTGTCAACACAGATTCCAGCACCCATCACTTGGAACCCCAAATAGTGACACACATTTCCTGAATCCCTGTTGGAGTCCTAGGCTCCACGCCCCTTTGTCAAGTCCCTGGGACCTCCAGTCCTGTGGAGTGGAAATTTCAGCTAAAGAATCTCCCAGATCTTCTACCACCACTGATTCTGCCTCCCCACTCACACAGGGCACAGATATCATCACCCTTCTTAACACAGTCCACTATGACCCCAGCCAGTTCATGACGCCCCAGGAATTCAACCCTGAGCATTTTCTGGATGCCAATCAGTCCTTCAAGAAGAACCCTGCCTTCATGCCTTTCTCAGCAGGTGAGAGCCATGCGGACAAGAGTCAGGGTCTTTGGGGTCCCATATTCCTACCTACCTTCCTCATTGCACTCTTTAAACCCTCTCGTTTCTTCATCCCACCGCATCCTCAACTTTGGGTGTGCGGAGACATTTGTTCTCCCTCCCAGCTCTCTTCCTATGGGCAGATAATGGCTAAAAATCCTTGCGGAGGGAAGTGGGGAGGCAGGATATTACTTCAACTTGGAAGTGGTCACCTTCAGTATCTCCACTGTGTGGCGCAGGCGAGCAGTTCTCCTTTTCTTGGCTTTGGTCTTTATCCTGCTGAAAAAAAATCTTTCCTGTTTAACCCAGTAGCAGAAATAAAAAGGGGGAGGGAGGAATAATAATAAGTCATTTACCATATTGCCTACCGCGTACCAAGCTCTACTCTTAAGAAGACTTATTCGAGTGGTGGCTAAGAGTTTGGTTTTCCAGCCGGACCCCAGATCTGTCATTTCCTAGCTATAACAGTCTTGAATACCTTACTTCACCTCTCTGTGCCTCCACTTCCACATCTATAAAATGGAGAATGGAACATCTATAAAATGGAGAATGATAGAATTCCAAGGCCCGTCTCTTGGAATTGTTAGGATTAAATTATATTATCAGTATAGGGCTTAGAGTAACATTTGACAGGCAATATGAACTACATGGCACTATATTCATATATTTTTTAAAGATTTTATTTATTTGACAGACAGAGATCACAAGTAGGCAGAGAGGCAGGCAGAGAGAGGAGGAAACAGGCTCCCCGCTGAGCAGAGTCAGATGTGGGGCTCGATCCCAGGACTCTGGGATCATAACCTGAGCTGAAGGGAGAGGCTTTAACCCACTGAGCCACCCAGGCGCCCCATATTCTCATTTTTTTACCAGCACGTAGCATTCACAACAATCTAATGAGGCACTACTATCATCCCTACTCTTATTTTATTTTTATTTTATTTTAATCATCCCAATTTTATTTTTTTATTTTTTTAAGATTTTATTTATTTATTTGACACAGAGAGATCACAAGTAGGCAGAGAGGCAGGCAGGGGCCGGGGGGGAGGGGGGAAGCAGGCTCCCCGCCGAGCAGAGAGCCCGATGCCGGGCTTGATCCCAAGATGCTGGGATCATGACCTGAGCCGAAGGCAGAGGCTTAACCCACTGAGCCACCCAGGCGCCCCAATCATCCCCATTTGAAATACCCAGAAACTGACTTGCCCAAGATCGCAGAACTAGTAACAGCAAAGTGGAATTCGAATCCATGAACTTGTCCTTGTATCACCCGATCCTTTTTGGCCTCAGATTTACTTAAAACATTTTTCCCAGACCTTTTGACAGGCAGGCTCTGTGGCGTCTCCAATCATTAGCTTCGTATTGCTTTTATCTGAGAATTTGCGACTGGACCCCCTCACCCCATCTTACCTCAACGCTGCTCCGCATCCTCCCCCCCACGCAGGTCGCCGACTGTGCCTGGGCGAGTCTCTGGCACGCATGGAGCTCTTCCTCTACCTCGCCGCCATCCTGCAGAGCTTCTCGCTGCAGCCGCTGGGGGCGCCCGAGGACATCGACCTGACGCCGCTCAGCTCCGGGCTCGGCAACTTACCGCGGCCTTTCCAGCTGTGCCTGCGCCCGCGCTGACGCCGCGCCCTTGCGGATTTCGCCAGTGAGCCGAGAGGCAGACTTTGGAGCTGGCTCCGTCCCCCTGGTCGTTCCGCTGTGCAGCCCATCCCTCTCGCTCTCATGCTTGCTTCCCCGCACCTGTGCCTGCCGCCTGCCCATCCTCCGGTCCCCATCTTGACCTGGTCTGCGCCCTCAGAGGCAGAGAAACGCAAGGGGAAGGGGAAGAGCTTGCCTCTTCTATTGTGCACCCTTTTGGGGGGCTGTTTTTACCTTTTTCTAATAAAGTATCTTTATAAAAGATTCAAACCTCCCTGGACTGAATTACAGGGAGGAGGGCAGCCCCCTAGGACGGGGAGAAGGAATGTCGGGCTGTAAAGGAGAGACGGAACTGACTAGTTCTACCCTCGCCCTTAGAGTGGCTAGAAGCTGGGAGAAATTATTTCCTGGGGTAAGAGCTGGAGGACAGCTTGACGACAGAGAGGCAGAGAAACCAAGGCAGAGAAAAAGACAGAAAGCCCCAAGGTACACAGAACGAGTCTGCTAGAGATGTGGGTGCTGTACAGAGACGGAGATGGAAGCAGGGAGAACGGGACAGACCGGGAGACAGACAAAGAGACTGAAAAATGACACTGACACACAGTGCTTCCTATTCACTCTAAATGCCCCCATTTAAAACTCCCTATAGGACAAAAAAGCATTATATACTTTTTAAAAAAACATTTTATTTATTGGACAGACAGAGATCACAAGAAGGCAGAGAGGCAGGTGGGAGGGGGCGGGAAGCAGGCTCCCCACTGAGCAGGGAGCCCGATGCGGGGATCCATCCCAGGACCCGGATATCATGACCTGAGCTGAAGGCAGAGGCTTAACCCACTGAACCACCCAGGTGCCCCATTATATACTTTATAAAAAAAAATGTTATCTATTTATTTAAGAGAGAGAGACAGCGAGAGAAAACATGAGCGGGGAAAAGGAGAAGCAGACTCCCCACTGAGCAGGGAGCCCAGCGTGAGGCTCTATCCCAGAACTCTGGGATCATGACCTGAGCAGAAGACAGATGGTCAACGGACTGAGCCACCCAAGCATCCCACATTATACACTTTTAGAGACTTGGAGAGCTGAAATGACTTGGCCAAGATCACACAGTCGGAAGTGGGCAGGGCTGGGAACAGAACTCAGACTCCAACACTGTTCCCTTCCACGTCACAAGTCAGAGACACGGAAGAAAGCAGAGGGTACAGGCATGGAGAAATGGGGAGACAGCAAGAAGAGGAGAGACAAAGAAGGAAACAGAAATGGCCAGAGAAGGCCAGAGAGGAAGAGCAATGAAGAGTATCCCTTTGTCTTGCAGTTCTTCCCTTTGGGGTGGGGATAGCAGTCTGGGGCATGGGGCCTCCCAACCTGGGATTGGCTTTGTCAGCCTGACATCCTGCTGACAGAAGCTTTTCTCAATGAACTGGGCATCTTCAGCTCCATGGAGCCAGGGCCAGAGGCAGGCAGAGCGGTGGTGGCCCCCCAGCCATGGGTGGAGGTGGCCCTGGCGAGCCTACCCTACCCTAAACGGGGTCTCCCCAAGGCCATCCAGAAGCTGGGACATGCTCTGCTGAGAATTATAGGCAGCCCCCACACCAGGCGTCAGCTCCTTAATCCCTAAACTGTTGCCAGCACAAGCCAACCACAGAGTCTGCCCCAAGGGCCCAGGCAGGGATAAGGAGGTGGAGAGAGAGAGGGAGAGACTCCGAGGTCCTAAGAAAGAAATAGCAAAGAGCAAAGAGACATAGCAAAGAAAGAGCAAAGAGACAGCAAAGAGGAACACATGGAAGTACTAAAAAAAGAGATGGAGAGAGATAGGAGAGATGGAGAGATGCAGAGAAACAGATGGGAGAGATCCTGAAAACCAAGACTGGGAGTGAGACAGAGAGACAGGGACGCATTGACAGGAAGGCAGAGACAGCTGCCCGGAGAGAAGGAAGACAAGGAGATTCTAAAGCAGAGCTAGAAATTGAGAGGAACAGAGATGAAGAGAGAAGGAGATCTGAGAATAGAAGGGAAAGGGAGCTAGAGAGACAGGAGCCTTAAAAAATGAGACACAAAGACAGACAAGGAGAGAGACAGTCACAAGGATTCAGCAAAAGAGAGCCGGAGGAAAACAGTCTGAGATAAAGACAGAAACAGAAATCAGGATAAAGAGAGTCATGCATTCGCTCTACAAATGTTTGCTGAGCACCCATTGTGTGCCGAGCACTGTTTTAGTGCTGGGGATACTGAAGCGAGCAGGACAAATGCCAGCTCTTGAAGAGACCCAGAGAGAGCGGCTCATCAGAGAGTCTGACAAAATGGGCTGGGTAGGACCCAGGGAGGGCACCCCCCACCAACCCCCCACTGTCTTGTGGAGTCAGCGCCCTGGAAGCAGGGGCCCTGCCCTGAACCCACTGCCTGTCACCTGGGTTCCCAGACAAAGAAAGCCTAACAGATCCGGAGACCCAGGGCAGAGCCAGAGGGCAGAGCCAGAGGGCAAGGAAACAGGGAAGTGGGAGATGAAGGGAAAGAGAAACTGCGAGGGATACAGAAAAGAACAAAAGCAGGAAGAGTAAAACAGAGGTGGAAAGAGAGAGATGAACAAAGAAACACGGAGGAAGATGCTGAGAGATGAAACAAAGATAAAACAAAGACAGAGACCCTGAGAGACACTCCCAGAAACAAGGTCAGTCCCAAAAGCTGTGCCGCCCCCACGCTCTCCCCAGGTCTGGGCCCTGTGCCAGGCACCTGGCGGAAGGCTGGATCCGGCCAGGCAGGGGTCCATGGGAGGGTGAGCCGCCTTCCTGAACAGTGTACGGGTACAGCATACACCATTTCAAGAGCAAGGGCATGGAAGTGACAAGGGCTCAGGCGCCTGTCCCTGGGAATCACAAGCACAGGGCACAGGAGGGCCAGGCTAATGGGTGTATCACCAGGGGTGTTTTTAGAAGTGTATTTGGAAGTCAGGAATGTATTTAGGAATCCGAAGTTATAGGGTATGGCTTTCAGGGGGTCATGGGCCCCAAGGCGGCCAGGGGATTCAGAAATGCACACCTCTGGGCCAAGGAAGATGGACCCTAAGGGCCCAAGGGCTCAGTAGGGTGCACCTGTCGGGCAGGTGTATTGACGTGGAAACGCTAGTGCAACAAAGCTGCCAAATGGGGCTGGCTGCGCCTGGCACGACAGCGACAGAGCTGGGGGGCTGGGTGGAGACCTTGGGTGGGGGAATCTGCAAAATAAGCGGCCATACCCACTCCTGGTATCCGCCCAGCTCCACCCAAGACCCAAAGGGAATCAAATAAAGGCAAAGGGGGGCAGGCATGGACGATAGAGGGCACGATGGTCACGGGAGTCACAGCGTTGCTGTTGCTGCTGGTCCTGCCGCTGGCCCTAGCCAGGCGGGTTTGGGGTGCCCAGGGCACTCAGACTCGGGGGGCCCTACCCCCGGGGCCAACGCCACTCACACTGCTGGGGAACCTGCTGCAGCTGGAGTCTGGACGCCTGGACGGAGCGCTCATGGAGGTAGCGCCCGACCGTGGGCTCGGGGGCTGGAAGTCCTGGTGCTCTGATTGAAGACAGCCGCGGGCTCCGACCCCTGAGTCCTGAGGAGGGTTGAGGGACCTGGAGCCCTGTGTTCCAGGAAAGGAGGAGACTACGGGGAAGCTGGGAGCCTGGATATCTGCTTGAGAGAGGAGAGGGCCAATGGGCCTGACTTCCTGGCAGAGTCGACCGGGATCCCTCCCTCCCCACCCCACCCCTACTCCCCCCAGTCTGGGGTCCTCAGGGAGGAGGAGCCTAGAGTGAGAAGTTAGGTCGCGGGCAGCGGGGAAGGGGTGCCGAGAGGTCTGCTCTCCGGGTTCAAGGTGGGGAGGAGACCACCGACGGTCCAGACGCCTACTTCTGTGGGTGCAGAGGGCTCGGGCCCTGGTCTTGCAGATCCCGAAGGAAGAGGAAGGTGGGGGGCTGGACTCCTGCGGAGGAAGGAGGTGGGGATCTGAACTCCTCCGTCAGTAATGAGGGGATGACATGGGGACTCTGGGTCGGAAAGAAGAGGGAGCTGGGGGCGGGGGCTCTAGGGTGGAGGAGGGGGTCAGGAGCCCCGACCAGGACCCGCTGAGCACCCGCTCCGCGTAGCTCTCTGGCCGCTGGGGCCCAGTGTTCACAGTGCGGCTGGGCCGGCGTCCTGCAGTGGTGCTGTGCGGCTACTCAGCGCTGCGGGACGCATTAGTGCTGCAGGCGGATGCCTTCTCCGGCCGCGGGGCCATGGCTGTTTTCCAGCGCTTCACTCGCGGAAACCGTGAGTCCCAGGCGGCGGAAGTGCTGGCCGGACCACCCAGTTTGAGCGATAAGGGGCGGGGTCGGGAGGTGGGGCGGGGCCGAACGAGAAGGCCAGTGAAGGCAAAGAGCGAGAAGGTAGGGCGGAGCTAAAACGTAGAGGCCGAATTGGAGGGGCTGGTTCCTGGTGCAGCCAATAGAAGGAAGAGAAGAGCCCAAGAGCTCAAGCCAAAGCGAGCAAGCACTGGTCAGGGATGGAGACCAGCAGTGGTGGGGCCAACGCGTGGATAGGGCCGAGAAGGCTGGGGTTGCAGCCAAGAGCAACAGAAAGCAGCAGAATTGAAAGGTTGCGAGGAAGCCAGCTCCAAAACCCGACAGGGCCGGGATGGGGCGTGGCCAACTCCCCGGCCCGCCCCTTCTCTGCTCTCCCCTAGGCATCGTGTTTTCCAACGGGCCGCGCTGGTGGACGCTGCGCAATTTTGCATTGGGAACACTGAAGGAGTTCGGGCTGGGAACGCGGACCATTGAGGAGCGCATCCTGGAGGAGGCAGCTTGTCTGCTTGGCAAATTTCAAGCCACCATTGGTGCGGCCTGGGAAAGGAGAGGGGCTTCTTGCGGCTGTGGCCAAAGATCAAGAAGGGGCAGGGCAGGGCGCCTGGCTAGCTCAGTAGGCAGAGCCAGCGACTGTCCATCGGGGTTGTAGGTTCCAGCCCCAGGTTTGGTGTAGAGATAACTTAAAAATAAAATATTTAAAAAGCGGGGTGGGGGGGGGGGTTGGAAGGCATTTGTAGTGGAAAGAAGCCAGTAGGCCTAGCCACCACGAAAAGACCCCGTCCCGTTCCCCCTCCCAGGAGCGCCGTTCGACCCCCGACGGCTACTGGATAATGCTGTATCTAACGTTATTTGTTCGGTGGTCTTCGGGAACCGCTATGGCTATGAGGACCCAGAGTTCCTGAGGCTCCTGGACCTCTTCCATGACAACTTCCGCATCATAAGTTCCAGATGGGGCGAGGTGAGAGGGCCAGACTCAGTCCCTCCCTCCTATGCCAAACCTAGAGTACACAGACCTACCAACCTTGGATCAGTCTTGGAAGGAAAGAGTTCTAGAACTTAGAACATCAAAGTCCTGGTGCGGTCTCCCTGCACCAAGGTCCTGCTGCGGTCTTGTCCCCTTAGATGTACATTTTCCTCTCCCTCCTCGACTGGCTCCCAGGCCCGCACCACCGAATCTTTCGAAACTTCACGAAGCTTCGGGTCTTCATCTCTGAGCAAATCAAGCGGCACGAGCAGACGCGGCAGCCTGGGGAGCCCCGCGATTTCATCGATTGCTTCCTGGATCAGATGAGTAAGGTGCGAGTCCCTACTACCCTAAACCCCCCCCATGCCACCCACCAGGAGGTGCCAGGCAGCCACAACACCCATCTCTGTCCGCAGGAACAGGAAGACCCAGAGAGCCATTTCCAGGAAGAGACGTTGGTGATGACAACGCACAACCTCTTCTACGGGGGCACTGAGACCACAAGCACCACTCTGCGCTATGGGCTCCTCATTCTGCTTAAGTACCCAGAGGTGGCAGGTCCGGGAGCTGGAAAGCCTGGAATGAGGCAGCTTGGGTGTGGGGATGGCTAGGGGCCTGGGAATGCACAGCTCACGGCCTCTGCCCGCCCCCAGCCAAAGTGCAGGCCGAGGTGGATGCAGTGGTAGGGCGGACGCACCCCAAGGCTGGAGGACTGCGAGCGCCTGCCCTACACCAACGCCATGCTGCACGAGATCCAGCGCTTCATCAGCGTGCTGCCACTGGGGCTTCCCCGTGCCCTCACCCGGGACACCCACCTGCGCAGCTACTTTTTGCCCAAGGTGCCCACGCATGGGGATTCTGTGCAGGCCTGGGAACACCTTCAGCCGAAATCATCAGCCCTGAGCGCGTGCAATGCTGAGTCACACAGCCCTGGGAGTAGGGAAAATAGGCCCACCTTCCCACTGGCTTTTAAATGGGGTCTTGGATGACTAACCAAGTCCACGGGGTAACCCCTGTGCACCCCCACCCCCAGGGTACCTTTGTGATTCCTCTGCTCATGTCTTCACACCGGGACGCCACCCAGTTCAAAGACCCAGAATGCTTCAACCCCACCAACTTCCTGGACGACAAGGGCAAGTTCCAGAGCAACGATGCCTTCACGCCCTTTGCCCCAGGTCTGGGCCAGGAAGGGAGGGGACAAGGCTGGGCAGGCCTGGGAGGGGCGTGGTTCCCACCCTGCATCCCCGTGTCCTCAGGAAAGCGGATGTGTCTGGGTGCAGGCCTGGCGCGATCAGAGATCTTCCTCTTCTTCACCGCCATCCTCCAGCGGTTCTGCCTGCTCCCTGTGGGCAGCCGCACCGACATCAACCTCACCCCGCAGTGCACAGGCCTGAGCAACATCCCCCCCAGCCTTCCAGCTCTGGCTGGTAGCCGGCTGAGTCAGGCTCAGCGGCCCCCTGCTCACTGGCTCCCAGACCTCCCTACCCCCTTTGGTCAATAAAGGCCCCGAACCGCAGACAGACAGGTCTCCTTACCAGTAAGAGGGAGCAGGAGAATCACGTTTGCAGCTCTGAGGTAAACTTTTATTTCTTTCTTGGCTGACAGGACTCTTCACGCCCGTGCTCCCCCCTTGCACCTTTTCTCCTGCCCACGCAGCGGCGGCCTAGTCCACAAGGTGCCACGGCCATAGGGGCTGGGGAGTCACTTCACATTCCAGGCTGGGGAAGTGGGGGGGCTTGGGAATACCATCCCCCCAACAAACCTTTGCCAGTAAGAGGCCATGACATCCCCAACCCTCAATCCTGGATCCTGGTGGGAGGTGGCAATACCTCCTTCCAACTCTCCACGTCTAACAGGAGCACAGCCAGACAGGGTGAGCCACAGGGCCCCAGCTCCAGCGATGGCAGCTCCCGATACTGGCTCCAGCCCAGGTCACAAGCCCAGCCCCCATCCCAGGGCAGCAGACGTCTCTCCTCCTCCTTGGTCCTCAGCGTCAGAGGGAGCCCTCCACACCAGGCAGGACAGAGGCAAAGCTGGAAGCAGCAGCGCTGGCCTAAAGGGCGCAGGCACCGAGGGTGGTGGGCTGCTGGGCCGGCAGCAGGGGGCCGGAGGCTCTCCCGAAGTCAGGGCAAGCTGTCTGTCCATGCAGCTCTGGGACTGGCCACTAGGTGGGCGTGGTTGGCTGTGACACAGGTACTTGGACACCTTTCTGTCCAGATGCTAGGGGTGAGATGAGAGGAGACAGGAGTCATCAGGGAAGGGACCCAGAGGCCAAGAAAAACACGGGAAGGAGGAGGAGAGGACCGCATGCTGGGGGTGCCAAGAGAGAGGACTGTCTAGGGAAGAGGACAGAGGAGAGAAAAAAGGAGTTGCAAAATTTAGGAAGAGACTGAGGTGGGTAAGGGGACTTGAGGCCTTGTAAAGTACATGGAATAGGAAGGGCTCGACAGAGGGGGTGCCATTTGGGAAGCAGGTACCTAGCTGATACTTGTCTTTGGCTGCTGCCCGCTCCTTAGCATCAAAATACCAGACAGTGATGGCGTACCTGGGGACCAGAGCAGCCCCGAAGGGCAGTTAGCGACACTTGTCTTCAATTCCAGCCACCACATCCACAGTGACACCACAGTTCACCCTTCTGAGCCTGGTTCTGTCCCACCTCGGCCCCTCTCAGCGCTTCACTTCCTAGCCACTCCTGGGGTCGGACAAGACTTTGCTGGCACAGAGCAGGAGACCTGAGCTCGTCCCCCCAAATACCGGTCATACCTGGTGGCATAGGCTGGTTTCACCTCGTGGGGGTTCCGCCGATCAGACCAGAAAATGAGCAACCGATCGAAGAGGGGCTCAATGTTGGCAACCACAGGCCGGCCCTCAGGGAAGATCTGCAGCAGGCCGCCATGCACCTGAGGGCAGGCCAGAGGATGAGGCAAAAGATGGCGGATGCAAGGCCTGCAGCCGCTGCCTTGCACCCCCTGCCCCCTGGAGCCTACTCTCTGGCGGCCACACACATCCCTCCCTCCCACCACTCAGGCCCCCCCGAGTGATGACAGCCAGAGTCTGCATCACCATGGAGGCGGGCAGGAAGCTCCTGGAGACAGGAAATGGGATGGGGGGTGCTGCCACCACCAGGTCAGCTGGAGACAAGGTCGTGCCATTGCCCAGGAAGAGGGAGCCAGCCAGCAGGCGGCACTGCACTGCCAGACTGTGGGCCCATATGAGGAACCGGAGAATGCCAGAAGCGCAAAATGGAGTGGATGCAGCCACCTCATCCTCCCTCCCACCCCAACCCTCACTCCCCCACGCCCTACCTTTACGTCCCAGTTCTGATTCAGGTAATAGATACAGGTGACGCAGCGCCCGTCGCCGTGGGGATTGTCGACATGCCTCACGTACCCCAGTCCGTTGCCTGGGTAACACGCCACCATGGCCTGACAGAGACAGACAGGAGGGGACTTAGAGGGCAAGGCAGGGATATTTGGGGAGGCAGCCATTACCTCCTCTTTCTCACCCTCCCAGCCCCTCGTCTTTCCCCAGACTCCTCCAAGGACTCTCGTCCAGACTTCCTTTTTTGTCAGCCAAGGAACCATCTACCAGAAACCTTAGCTCTTGGGGCGCGATAGCCCCCTCCCCACACACGGCCAGAGCCTGGCATCCAGACAACGCTCGATGAGTAACTGAGAGTTTAACTTTTTAAAGATAACCTGACTCCCTGCCCCAACCAGACCTTTCAGAATAAAACCAATTTACATGTTTCTGGTATGGAGGGATGTGGCTGCACAGCCCTGCACCTGGGGTTCTTGACCTTGGCTTCAGCATGGAATCACATGGGATGCTGATGCCCAGGCCGATCTCAACGGTTCAGAAATACTTGGTCTAAGGTGGAGCATGGAATTTTTAGTTTCCCCAAATAACCGTAATATTGAGAACAGCAAAGCTGAGAACTGCTGCCCCTGACTACAAAAAAACCCACTAGATAAATAGTGTTTCCTACACATATAAACAAGTATCAAAACCCCCACTGCGACTAGAATCTGAGCTCAAGGACAACCTGCTGGGTAGCCCCTGACAGTCCCATGACCTGAACGAGCCTCAATGGCCTCACCCGTTCAACAAGCTAATGAACGCCTCCTCTGCTTACAGACCTGGCGACTCCTGAACCCCCTGCAGACCGTGGCTTGTGTGTGTACAGGTCTAGCCCCAGGTTCTCACCTCCTCTCCCTGCTTGACCACGTGGAGGCCTCGGCTGTTTCTCATCAGGGAGCCACCAGAAAAGTGGATGTGGAGGGAGGGAAAGGGCCCACAAATTCCTTCAGACCTAACTCCCAGGTTCAAGGCCCAGTGCTGCCACACCAGCAGTAACCTCGGGTGGGAGACTATGCTTCCTGTCTCAGGTTCCTCATCCGTGAAATGGAGCTGATAAACTACTTCACAGGCAGTTGTGGGAATTCAGTAAGACAAATGTTTGGGAGGACACCAAGCACAGTGCCTGTCACATGATGGAAAGTCAAAGGACAGGCTGAAATGACATTTTAAAAAAGAGTCCCCATCCTACCCTCAGCTACTCAGGAGGGCTGTATAAGGCAAATAGGGGAGTACTGGCGTGCACTCTCTCCAGCGTGTGGACCATTCTGTCTTGACACCTTGGCCCGCACTTATTCCAGGCTCGAAACTGTCACCTGCTGCTCCCCACTAACACTCAGCTACACCTGTGGGCCACAGCCCGGAAAAACAGCCCTAGGATGAACATCCCTGATCAAAAAGATGGGCATCTGCTGCCCAAACAGGAGGCTGGCCTAGCGCTCCCGAGCAGGCCAGGCTGACTCAATCCTCAGCCTTTTTCCAACATGGTACTCCCAAGGCTCTCCCCAGCATGAGCAGTCCACAGCTCTGCATTAAACGTGTGTGGACCCGAAGCACCCCAGCTCCCGCCCTGGGAAAGAGGCCAGGAGGCTTGCAGCTGGGTAAGGCTACCCAGCAGTGGAGAGCCTTGGAGGCACCGGGGCAAGACCTTGGCTCACAACCCCCAGGTTCAGGAGAACCTTCTCTATACTGTTCACTCCCTGCAAATGGGTCAGTGCTCTGAGCAACCACCTCACTGGGAGGGAAAAAAGTAGCCATGCCCAGGGGGCCTGCAGTGACTCACTGCCCTCCCCAGAGAGAATCCAAGCAGAGACTGCTGGGTCTGCACAAGGGTGGGGACAGGGTCCAGGGCTGCAGCCTCTTGCCCACAGTCCACCTCCACACAGCGGCCAGAGACACTTTCCTCCAGCTCTTCACTGCTCAATCCCTTCAAGAACCCCCACCACGTCCCACAGTCTCAGCCTCCAAGGCCACCAATCTCTGCTACCACTGCTTTACTCCGTTATAGCCTCTCAGGCCTCCTAACTGCTCTCTGACCAGGCCACGCTCATCCACAAGGCCTCTGCTCCTGCCTGGGACACACCTCCCCTGGTACTCCTTGTTATTCACATCTCAGATCAAAGGGCACCATGAGTACTTCGGCTGAAGGCATCTCTGCTGATTTTTCCATATCCACGCCCCCCCCCCCTCAGATGTGAGATCAGTCCGGATGCTTGTTTACCTAGTACTGGCCCAACAGGCAGTCCCGTGGAAGCCCCTGGGGCCAGGCGTGTCTCCCTAGTGCCCAGGTAGTAGCTGCTTACAGAAGCACTCTGGGTCTCCGGGCCTCCACTGCGTCCTGCCCTGCACACCCTCACACAGGGTTTCCCACCGTGCAGGCAGGGACAGTGTCTGTATTCTGGTGTGGAAGGGGACTCATGCATGAAGCCTAGGCAGAGAAAGAGGCCCTTTAAACTCCCACCAATCCCTCCACATACACACCTTGGTGGGGAAGGCGGGGTATCCTCTGGCCCCAGAGAAGCACCTACTTCCTACACCCACAAGAGAAAGGGACAACAAGCAGAATGACATAAAAGCCTGCTCCTCACCCTCCCATCTCAGAGAAGGGGCAGCTAGCATCACAGCCAGGAGACTAAAGAATTAAAGGCTATTAGTGACAATGTGCCAAAAGCCCCAACACCCACACCCATACACACACACACACACACACACACACACACACAGTTCAGCAGAACTGGGGACTGAGCCAATGACAGCAGGCCCCACCTCCAAGCTGCTCTTAAAGGGGCAACCAAGCCAGCCAGGCTCTCCCTGTGATCCCCTATGGTTGTCCTTGATGCCAGTGGAGCCAACCCTCTCCCACCTGCAGGTCAGCAAAGCAGAGAGACTAGAGACAGCTGCGAGAACAGAACATAGGAGCTCCATTCCGGAGTGACCAACAGGCAGGTTGTGGCTGACTCCAGCTACACTGGTGATGTGTGCCCCGACCACCTCTGTGACCACCCACCTCGGTACCCCACACTCTTATTTCAGAGCCTGGGGAGGGAGTCCAGAGGTTGCCTGTTGAAGGTGGGGAAGTCTGGAGCAGGTGTCTCATGGGTTTGGTGGGGGTGTCCAAGAGAACTCCAGTGAGTGGGCTGTCTCCCCTGCCAGTCCTGACCTCCCAGGTCAACAGAAGTCACCCAGAGCTAAAGTAGTCCCAACCACCCCCTCCAACCCCCAATCTTAGCCAAGGCCCTGGCCCAAACCACATCCAACGCACCAAGGGGGAAACATCTGCTCAATCTACTTTGCCCTCCCCGCCTAAAACGGCCGAACACTAGCTGGGGACTTAACTGATTTTCCTCTCCTGTGGATAAGCAAACTGAGGCTGAGGAAAGTGTGCCGCCATGGGCCATTCAGCTCTCCCACTCTCCCCTCACACTTCCTTCTGCGAGGATGCGTGACCTGGGGTGAAGATGCTGAGCCCCTTGAGGCCAGGGAGGCTCCCTCTTACCACTCCTGCCTGCACAGGAACAGAGCACAGGGAAGGCCTCCTCTGACTCTCCAGCTATCAAGTAACAGAAGGCAGGGAGAGGTAGGACAAGCCTCACCTGGATGGGGAGGATGCTGGCCTTGGCCTGAGGGAGCGTGGGTCCCTGAGCCAGTTCCAGCCGGAGACAGAAGCTGTACAGAGGCAGAACCCAAGATGGGATCGGAGGGAGGAGGGAGGAGACATCAGGAGCGCAGCCACATGCCCCGAGCGAAGCAAACAGCCCTGCCATCAGCCAGTCACTGGTGTGCAGCAGGCACTCCCTGCGGGGGCCTTGGCCAAATGACACTTGTCCTGGACTCAAGGCCAGAGCCCTTTCACCCCTCTATGAAGAGAATTATTGTGTCAGAAGGCCAAAAAGCCCCAAAAGACCACTGCCTTGTGGAGAGCTCCTGACCTAGGTTCTCGAACGGGCAGCTAAAGGCTCAAGAGACACTGATGATTGCCCATAAACTAGACAAACGAGCATTATTCTTAAAAAAGGATTTGTGGTTTCAGCAAATTCTCAAAAAAGCCCATGTCCCCCCCCCCCACAAAAATTGGTTAACAACTACTGTAAAGCAAGAAAAAAAGAAACCAAGAAGAGACACAAAACAGAGAGAGAACAGGTCAGAATGGACAAAAACGCAGTGACGGACAGACAGGAAGGATACAGGACAAGCATCAGAAGCATACGAAAGATGAAGGACAGGACACCCCCACCCCCAGGGCAGCACACAGGCACCCAGGAAGCTGTCCAGGCCACGGATGTCACAGTATGGCACAGGGCAAAAAGCGGTCCAGCCCCAAGCCCGTGGGCAGCACCTCTTCCCTCAGCCTGGCACAGGTCTCACCACTACCACCCTCCCCACTATGCTTCTCCTGCCTGGGAGACCGAACGGACAGAAGAGAGACAAGCCACTGAAAGGACAAGATGGAGAGATGAAAAGAAAGGCAAATGGGGAAAAAGAAAGCATACAGACCCCCAAAGTGCCCACCGTAAGGGAGAGCCCAAACCCAACTCTAGCACCAATACTTACTCCACCGGTGCTGCCTGCAACTTTCTGTGACCCCACAAGCCTACCTCCAAGGGCACTGATACTCAGAGCACCAGGTACCCCGAAGGCAGGCACTGGGGGGCCCCTTCACTCAAGGCCCTTGCGGCCTTACCTTGGTGCGCCCGTTGATGACGTAGCCACCCAGACGTCCAGCGCAATGGCGGATCACAGCGTCCACGTGGGCCATGAGGACCCCGATGCTTCGGCAGCCAGGCTCATGACCTTCCACCCAGGCAATCTGGTCCCCACGAATGCTGCGCGGCGGGATAGCCCGCTGGCTCACCAGCTGCCCGTCGCGCAGGCGCCCACTCCGCTTCAGGGCCTCCACCTCAGCCAGCACACAGCCACCCAGTGCTGCCCCAAGAAAGCTGTCCTTGACACAGATGCCGTAGTACCGCATGCAGGGCACGATATAGTCCAGGGCCAGGCGCTCGGGTGCAGTGGGAAGCACCTCCTCCCTCGGCCCCACGCTGGCCTCGCTGTTGCCACTGCAGCAGCCCATGCTGCCCTCCCCTTCAGCCTCTGCCTCCTGGTTCTCTTGCCTGGCCCAGGACCGCTTGCTGGGTGCTGGGGCATCCCCACCATCCTCTGCCCACTTCCGTTTGGGGGCCTCCGGCCGGGCCCCCTGGGCCGCCAGTCGCTGGCACCCCTTGGTGACCAGTGCTGCAGCGCCCTCACTCTGCAGCGGGCGCAGTTCACCACCATCCTGCCCGCCGAAGCCCTCACGCAGAGGGCTAGCTGTCGTGGAGGTGGCTGTAGCCCTGGGGGTCCCACTCCCCGCCGAGGCCTCACCAGGTGCTCCTGGACGGTGGTAGGAAGGTAGCAGGGGACAGGGTAGGTAACTCTCCACCCCCATCCTGGCCCGACCAGGCTCCAAGGGCTCTGACGCAGAACCCGGCAACTGAGGGAGAGCCTGACTCAGGGGCTGCGGCTGGCACGGGCTGTCCATGGCAGCAGCGTCTTCATCCCCCGGGCATGGAGGGCACGGCCCGGGCCCATGGTGCCACCCTCCTCCGCCTCTGCCTCCTCCACTTGATGCAGCCCGGGGCCGGGGTGGCTGAGCCTGGCGTAGGGCAGGGTGAGGCAGGGCAGGCAGCAGAGGCTCTTCTCGTGCCCTGGGGGTGCTCACTGGTCCCCAAGTCCTCTGCTGCCCTTAGGGGCTTGGGAAAGGACCCGTCAGGGTGGCTGAAGGGGGAGAGAGGAAAAAAAGGGAAGGTGAGAAGAGCCAGAGGCACTCCGAGTGATGTGGGGTGAGGGGCAGCAGGGCAATAGGGAGGAAGACAGATTTGGCTACACAGTCCCCCAAAACCTGAGGCCACGTTAGGGAGAAGATCATGGGAACTGTGGGGGGGTGGTGCAATCAAGGAGCGAAGAGGCAGCGAGGGAAGCAGCAGTAGGAGTGAAGCTGGGGAGATGACCCAAAGACACAGAAGCGCGGTGGGGGCTGGGGGAGGGCATCCTCAGACAGACACATAGCAAACAGAAAGGACGCAGGAGAACTGAAGTAGGAAAGGAATGCCAGAGCAGTGGGGAGCGGGAGATCTACCTGGGGATTCCAGAGACACACGGCGGGAACGGGGTGCTCCACAGAGCAAACCAGAGAGCCCAGAGACAAAGAGAATGGGGGGGCCCAAAGACGGAAACGCCGACCGGGGAGAAGCTGGGAGGGCGGGCCTGAGACAGCCGGACAGAACGGGGCGGAAGGGTCAACCTAAGCCCAACGGGAGGAAGCCTGCCGGTGGCTGACACACACCCAGACGGAAAGGAGGGCCTAAGACAGACAGACAGACGGAAGGCAGCCGCGGGAGGAGGGTCCACGGCGACGGGGGGAGGGGGGGAGGGGGGAAGGGGGGGAGGGGGGAAGGGCGGGGGAGGGTTCACGCACTCGGGGACAGGACGGGAGAAGGCGGCCCCTCCCAAGCCCCTTGAGTGCGGGCCTCGCCGCTCGCGGCGCTGTAAGCGACGGAGACCGGGCCTACGGACCGCTCGCACCCAGCGCCCCCTTCCTCCCCTCCTCCTCCGCCGGCGCGCGCTCTCCGCCCCCACCCCCCTCAAACGGCCAGCACTCAACGTGCCCGGCGCGTTCCCTCCCCCACGCCCTACCCCCACCCTTCCCTTCCTGGGGTCGCCGCGTTCGGCCACGCCGGCCGGCGCGCGCCCCCATACTACGCCCGGCTCGCGCCGGTGCCCCGGCTCGAGTGCCTTCTTCGCCCCTTTCCTCCCCGAGCTCTCCTCACCGAGCTTTTTCCTCCGGCCTCGCCGCCGCCGTTTGTGCCAGCCGCCCTGCGCCGCACAGCGCGCCATACCCCGCCCCCACCTCCCGCGACGCTCCGCCCCCGCCTCGCCCGGTGGGCACGTGACCGCGCCTGCGGAGGAGACCGTGCGTGCGCAGGCGCGAGGCGCGCGGGGCGGAGCAAGGAAGTTCAGAACATCCCCCCCACCTCCAGATAGAGGAAATGGGTCTGTCATTTGCATACTGCACTCCGCCCCTTATGGGCGAGGGGAAGAAGGGTGTTAGAAAGGGCTGGATCCGGGAAGGGTTGGGGGGGGTAGTTCCGCGGTTAGGCCAAGCGACGTGGGAGGGGTATGCAAATAGGGTTATTTGCATAGGCCGGCCCACCCCATCAGAGTCCGGAGCGCCGGAGAATGACGTGTAGCCGGACCGGACAGTGGCATGCAAATCATGTTATTTACATGGTCAGCCCCTCCTCGCAGCCCCAGAATAGAGCTGTGATAGGCCAATGTCTGCGCAGTTAGTTTAAAAATGTATGTAAATACACATATTAGCAAGTAATTTACGTAAGTACTTCCTATAACGGAGGGAAAAAAGTGCGGAACATCCCTGATAGAGGAAGAGACTGAAAGGGATGCCACAGTATGACCCGTTCCACCCTGTCCTTTCGGGAAAAATTGTGGGAATCTGAATAAAGCAACCTAGGAAAGCCACGCCCGGTAAGCAAAGAAGACTTTTGTCTAACAGCCTCGGGTCTAAAACATTTTGGGCGACCCAGCCTGGAAGAACTATGCAGATGAGGTTATTTAAATGCCGCGCTCCCTCCACCACGGCCAGGTTTGGGGGAGGGGGTCAGGGGCTCAGGCCTACCCTGTGGGTGGGCTAGTGCGGACTTGGGGATGGCAAAGAAGTTGGGGATGTCCTGAAGGGGTTGCACCTGTCCCTGGCAGGGCACTTGCGACTATCAGTTCACCAGGACACAAAGATAGACACTGGTCTGAAGTATGCACAAGTCAGGGTTGCCCAAAGGCCTACCCTACTTAGGGTTCACGGTCACACACAGCTGTATCACGGGGGCCAAATTCACACAAGACAAACACAGACCTCAGGGCATAAACGCACAGTCACACGCAACAATCAGACACAGTCTGGGAACTTCCAGCATCAAACATGCATGGAGATCACCTAGAGGCCTGAATTTCCATTCCCTGGCCTTGGTCCCAAACAACACCAGCCTCATGGATACAGTCACCAAGGGCACAAAGTAGTCATGAGCAACGGTGTCACACACACAATCAGCACATATGCCTACAGACGCTGTCACACACACGTCACAGGACACCAGTGCTACACAGGTGGGCCTCCAGCATGCCTTAGCACAACACGGGCAGTTACAGATTCCCTCCACAGCACCACCTGAGTCACAGTGTCCCAACGCCACATCCAATCCAGAAACATGACCCCCACACACCATGACTCGTGGTTCTTCCATCAGGGATCTCTTCTGTTTCCTCTCCCTCCCCATCACCCCAAAATAAGAGAGGCCAAGACACAGGTGTAAACAATGCTTTATGGGGTGGTGGGGACTGGACAGGCCTCCAGGCAATAAATAACACGTACTCGCAATGGCGGGGAGCTGGGGCCAAATGCCCGGGTCTCAGGCTTTGGGAACTCTTCGAGTATGGTTAGGGGTTCTGGGGGGACGGGGATTAGCCAAGACAGAGGAAGCAGCAGCAGGTACGGATTCCCCCTTCCCCCGTGGCTCAGTCTTGCCCCTCAGCCAGGCCCCACCAGGCCAGGGAAGGGGGACAGGTGGCGGGGCAGCTTCTCTGGGGCCAGGACAGGTGAGGGGCTCGGCCTCCCAGGGCCTGGGTCTGGGCCCCGGCCCGAAGGGCAGGGCTGGTCCTGGAGAACGGATGAGCTGAAAAAAAAGCGTGTGGTGAACTAAAGGGACCCTGGGTCTACCTGGCTAGTGTCTCTGTCTCATTTCTGGGTATCTTCCTGCCTTCCTATCTGTGTCCGTCTGTCCATACCTTTCTCTCTCTTCCAGAGTTTCTGCACTGTCCGATTTTGTGTTTCTCATCTGCTGGTAATTTGGGGCTGTCACTCTGAGGGTACCTGCATCTCCCTGTTTGTCTCAGAGAGCTGACCCCTGGAGTCTGCAGAGGGGTATCTCAGTATCTAAATTTCACGCCCCCCTCCCTTGTATCTCTGTGTCCCTCTGTGTTTCTGGACTGCCTGGCTCATGCCAGTGTCTTCCAAACTGAGCGGACACCTTCGGTTAGTGCTTGCTGCTTCAGCTACAGATAGCATTACCTGGGAGCTTCTAGAAATCCGGAAAGCACTTCAGAATCTCTGGGGTGAGGCCCAGGCATCAGACTTTTTTTAAGCTCTCCAGGTGATTTCAATGTGCAGCACCGCATTAGTGGGCTGGGAAATCAGTGTGATGGGCCTTGGCCAATGTTTCAATGAAACAGAATAAAACAGAAGATATCAGAGGGGCATCATATATAATACTATTTGGTCCCTAGAGACACCAAGCAGTGGTGGGTGTGAGAGGCTGGGGGGAATGCTTAATGAGTACGGGGTTTCCTTAGGGCAACGAAAATGTTTTGGAACGTTTTTTTGGAACGTTTTCATGGCTAACGTATGCCATGTGAATTTCACCTCGACTAAAAACAAAAACAAAGAATATTAGTGCTAGAAAAACATGTTTCAGCTTTGATGTGTGTGGAACTGTATCAGATCAAGACGTCTAAAATGTATCTTCTCTTGCAGAGTGCAGTCAAAAACGTTTGAAAAAGCACGGTCTTATTACATTTGATTCACTGAGAGCAAACCCTTAAAAGCACGCCATTCTGAGCTCGCAGGTGAAGAATACACACCCATCCATTCCTACAAAGCCCCAGCCCTCATTTCTCAAGTCTTTAGGAAGCATCAGGCCCTGTGCTAAGGACTTTACATGAATTGATGTAATTAATCTTCTCAACACCCAAAGGAGGTAGGTACTATTATTAGCGCCATTCTGGGATTGAACCTTGCATCAGGCTCCCTGCTCAGTGGGGAGCCTGCTTCTCCCTCTGCCTGATGCTCTGCTTACTTGTGCTCTCTGTCAAATAAATAAATAAAAATATTTAAATTAAAAATAAATAAATAAATTAATAAAGAATTTGCCCAGAGTTGTGCAGGTAGGAAGCGACAGAGTCAGAGTTGAAAACCCAGGCACCCTGGTCTGGGATCTCTCACCTGTCACCTCCTTCCCTTCTCAGATGGGGAAGACAAACACAATAATGACTGAGTGTTCAGAGCTGAATGCTTTAAAACATAGGGAGCACCTGTGAGACCAGCCAGCTAGAGGTAGTGGCCCTGGGTGGGAAGGTTACAAGGGTCTGGCAAAGACTAGACGACAAGGGGCAGTTGGTGCAAGAAAGGAGGTTGGAGGGGCACCTCCAACTCAGTGGGTTAAAGCCTCTGCCTTCGGCTCAGGTCACAGTCTCAGGGTCCTGGGATCGAGTCCTGCATCGGACTCTCTGTTCAGCGGAGAGCCTGCTTCCTCCTCTCTCCTTGCCTGCCTCTCTGACTACTTGTAATCTCTATCAAATAAATAAATAAAGTCTTTAAGGAAAAAAAAGGAAGAAAAAAGAAAGGAGGTTGGAGGACTGATACGCCCCAGCGGAGCCACAGCGGGTGCAGGGGTGTGGAAGGAAACAGGGCTGCCCAAAACACTCACCCTTGACTTCTCTCTCTCAAATGCCACATCCATTCATCAGGAAATCATGTTGGCTCTGCCTTCAAAGTATATCCAAGGTCTGAGCACTTTTCCCCACAGCCACCCTGGAGCCGCCAATGGCTGGAAGCAGGGGAGGCGGTGGGGGGGAGGGGCTTGGGGGATTGTGAAGCACAGGGCGAATTGGCAGGACATACACACTCTCCAAGAGGTGGGGATGGGACCTTATCCTGTAGGGCCTTGCAAGCCCAGCAAGGAGTGTGGACCAAGCATAGGGGAAGCATGGCTTCCTGGAGGAGGGGAATGAGGGAGGAGGGAAGAGAGGGAAGGAACAGTTTCTGACAGAGGAACAGCATGAACGAAGACCCAGAGAAACGGGAAGAACTTCAGGGTGTCTGCAGCGGCCTGAGCGGTGGGGAGAGGTGTGAGTTGAGGCAGGTGAGGCTGGCAGGGCAAACACCAGGCTATGAGCTTCGGCTCTGTGGACCCTGGGAGCCATGGGTGGTTTTAAACAGGGGAGGGACAGGATCAGATTTGTGCTTTAGAAAGACCCAGTGGCTACATCAAGAGGGGGCAAGACTACAGAGACCAGGGAGGAAACAAACCTAGCCATGTCTCAGTCCCTCCTCTGCCTGTCCCCCCATCCTGTCCACCTCTGTCTCTCAGCTTGACTCTACAGTAGTCTCTCACTGGTCTCTCAGGAACCACTCCTGTCCACCCCCTCCTCTCCTCTATATGTGGCCAGAGGGATCCTGGGAACACCTGAATCAGGTTCTGTCCCTTCTCTGCTCAGAGCCCTCCCATGGCTCCCATCCAGCCCAGGGTACAACCCAGAACCTCCTCATAGACAACAAGGCCCTATCCGATCTGTTTCCCCCTATACCTAACTTCATCTTCTCCCTCCCTCCCCCCCCACCCCAAACACACACACATACTCTGCTCCAGCCACACTGGCCTCCATGGACTTCCTGATCCAGGCCAGGCATGCCCCTACCTCAGGCCCTTTGCAATGGCTGTTCTCTATGCCTAGAACACTCATCCCCCAGGGACCCATATGAACCCCCCCAGCTCCATTCCCCTCCTTAAGGTCTTTGGTCAAATGTCACCTTTTCAGTGAGGGTTTCCCTCATCATGGAATATCTCCACTGCTCACCTCTTACCTACCCTGACTTTCCCTTTATTTTTCTCCACAGCTCTTATCTTCTTACCTACCACGTCATTTTCTCATGTGTCTCGCTTATTGCCTGTCTCCTCCCAAGAGCATGTTGGCTCCACAGGGGCAGGGACTGTCTGTTTGGCCCACTGCTTGAACAGAGCCTGGCACACAGCGGACACTCAATAAATATTTGCTGAATTAGGCATGGGTGGGTCAGAGATCCCAGGCAGAGAGCTGGTGGCAAGATGGAAAGGACATCCCCAAGGCCAGGACAATGGCTCCTTTCACTCTACTGTTTTTGCCTCTTTCTCACTTTCTCTCATGGCCTCTCCTTTTCTGTGTCTCTGTCTCTGTTCAGTATTCCCCCCTGCCAGGACCCTACCCCTGCCGTCCCAGGGCCCCAGGCTCCCACCTGGCTCCGTGCACGTCTCAGCAGCCACATGGCTGAGGGGTGACGGCCTGGGCGCTCCGAGGCTGCCGCAGCTGGCGGAGGGAGGCATCCCCGTACTGAATGCCCGAGCCCATCCTCTCGGGGTCAAGCTCGCCTGGGAGGTGGGGGGCAGGGGAAAGGTCAGGACTGGTCCCCTGGAGACCTCTGGGCCCTGCCTTTCGCTCCCACTCCCACTCTGGGCAGTCAGGGGCCTCACCTGAGTCGATCTTGTTCAGGATGGTACGGGCACACTTCAGGAAAGCCTCTTCCACGTTCTCACCCGTGAGGGCACTAGTCTCCAGGAACATGAGCTCTGGGGGGCAGGGTCTCAGTCAGTCCCCACCCTCCCCTTGACTCTGACTGACCACCTCTCATTCTGCTCCTCAAGCATTCCACCTCTGCCCTCACTCCAGGCCCTTGCTCAGGCTGCTGCCCTGCCATGGAGGGCCCCCCTCCCCAGGTGGTTCCAGCCTACATACCTCCTCCTCCAGAAAGTCCTCCCTGACCTCCCAGCATGATCAGGTGGCCTCCTAGCCCACTGGGCTCCCACAGCCCCCTGTGCCTCCTCTATCCCAGCCCTGACCTCTCTGGAAAGGGTCCTGACTCCCTTCCCGCAAATGCTGGGCCCAGGGTGTCTTTACAGCTATGTTCCCAGCACCGCTAGGACAGGCCCAGGCCCACCATGGTCCACCCTTGAGCCACATGACAAGGCCTCACAGAAAATAAGAGCCAGGACTCCAGCCCACATCTTTCAGATGGCAAAAAACCATCCTCCAAACCTGGAGGTTACCAACTGGAGGGACACGGACAGACCCTGAGTTTAGTAGATGTTTGGCCAACACAGAAGTTTTCAAATGAGTTTACACTCACATACCTTTGGATGTGGCTGTCGGTCCTGTCCATGCCCCTAAGGCTACTGCCTGCTAACCTGGAGTCTACCCTGTCCTCTCTCCCCTACTCACAAAACAGGCCAGTCTCCCCGGGTCGTCGGGAGTTTGCAACCTCCACATTATGCCAACAGCCTGCACTTGTTGATAGCCCTTAACCCAGGGCCCGCTGCCTTATCCAGGCAGTGCTGAGGGCTCCCCAGGGACCAATCCCCTAAACCAGCCTGAGCTATGCGGGCAGAAACACTGTGATTCCCACTCCCCAGGTAAGGAAAGACAGCTGACGTATGGCAACACTCGAATCTGAACCCAGACCTCTCAGTGTCCACACTGCCCTGCTAGGCACAGCCACAGACAGCCGGGAGGCCCACGGGCCCCAGTGGACAGCCCCTGCCTCTCTCCTGAGGCCCCCTCCCCCGCTGGCCCACCACAGGGTCCTCACCGTTCTCCTGGGCAAAGCGAGAGGCCTCCAGGAAAGTGACCTCACGCTCCGGGTCCAGGTCTTTCTTGTTGCCACAGAGGATGACCACGATGTTGGGGCTGGCCAGCGTGCGGGCGTCCGTCAGCCAAGCAGCCAGCGAGTTGTACGTCTCCCGGCTAAGGAGAAGGGAGAGAGGAAGAAGGGAGGCAGGCACAGGCTGGGGGTCCCGCCCGGCCCCGCCCCACCCTCTCCGTGCACCCACCTGGTGATGTCGTACACCAGCAAGGCTCCAGCGGCCCCTCGGTAGTAACTCCGCGTCACCGACCTGTGGGGCCAGGGGGACCCAGTCACCCCCGAGACTGGGGTCTGCCCTGAGATTGCCCCCCTCTGCGGAGAGAGACTGGTGGTTCGGAGACCCCCCTTTACTGCTGGCCCATCCCCCCAAAGCTGGCGATGGTCTGGTCTCAGCACAATTCCCTTCTCTGCTGCTCTCTTTGTCTCCCTTAATCTCTGCCTCTCTTAGTGGTCTGCCTGTCTTCAACTCTCTCTGTGTCTCTGTCTTTCTGTATCTCTTCACTGGTTTGTGTCTTTCTGTCTCTCTTACATGTGTGTCTCTCTCATTCCCGAAGGCTCTCTATCTCTTGTCTGTCGCTCTGGCTCTGGTCCTCTCATCCTCGCTCTTGATTTCTCATGCATTCGCTCATTCCTCATTTCCTGACATCTCCCCTTTGCCCAGTTTGACCAAGTGCTCTGCAAGGACATCTGCTTGTCCCTCTTCTGCCCCGTCTCTGGGAGGCCCCGTTCCCAGGGGGGCCAATGGCCCGCATCTCTGCGTCACCTGTCTGGGTCTCCCTCGAACTTGGGCAATCATTCCATGAGCATTAAGCCCAGCACAAGCCGTATATCCTTGGCCCTCTATCTCTCTCGCTCAGCAAATCAACACACCAATATTAACTTAGCAGCTACTTGGTGCTGGCCTGGGGCCACACCTCTCTCATGTCCCTCCTCTCTCTGTCTCTGTTTCTCCAGCTCGGGGTTTCCAGGCATCGACCACCTTGTCTGCAGACCTTTCCTGAAGACATACTGTGTGCTGAGCCCTACACAGTTCTCTCCCCTCTGCCACACACATCCATATCTCCATCTCTGTGCCTTCACCTGTCCCACCCTCCCTGTCTCTGGCTCTGACCTGTTTCTCTCTGTGTCTCTTTATCACCCTTACCTTGCTCTTCTTCTGGGTCTCAGTCTTTCTCTGTCCCTTTCTGAGTGTACCTCTTTTCCAGTCTCCCTCTCTTTAGTCTCTCCCTTTCCACCTCACCCCATCGCCCCCACCCTGGGCGCCTCTCCCTGGGCACAAGTCTCCAACCCTCCAGCCACATGGGTTGATCAACTGCAGTCTCTCTAGGGTCTGTGGGTCTGTCCCTTCGTTATGCTTCTTTCTCAACATCATTTTCCCGCACTACCCCTGCTCCCTCTCCAAGACTCTTGCTCTCTCTGGCTATAGGTACCTGTACTCAGTCTCCATCTCTCTTCCCCCGCCTTGCCTGCTCTCTCAATGGCTGTGTCCGATCTCCAAGTGACTGTACACACCTCTCTCTCTCCCTGTCTTGCTCTCTCGTTTTCTCTCCTCCCTCCTCTGCCCCCCTCCCTTGGGAGCCCAGCCCACCTACCGAAACCGCTCCTGGCCGGCTGTGTCCCAAATCTGGAGCTTCACAGTTTTTCCACCCACGTTGACCACCCGAGATCCAAACTCCACGCCGATTGTGTGGTTGGAGTCCTGTTTGACTGGGAGTGGGAGGGAGAGAAGAGGCAGTGCAGGGGCTCAAAAGATTCCCTGTCCTCCCTGGCCTCCTCAGCCTGTACCAAACCATTCTCGTTGCTGGGATGACTGAGGCTCAAGGAGGATCTAGCAAAGGCGAGGGCCAGGCAGCCAGCACTGGAATTGTACTTACGGCCAGCCCTGCCCCTGCCCCCGCCATGCCCACACCCATAGTTCAGCGCTCCCAGGACCACTCCCAGAAACTCACACTTATTCTCAATGAACTGATGAAGGAGACATGATTTGCCAGTTCCTGCACTGCCAATCACCAGGAATTTGAAGAGGAAGTCTGAGCAGATGGAGCCAAGATCAGGGAAACCCATATGGAGAGAATGATACAGGGCAAAAAAATGGAAGCCAAGAGACCATCACAGTTACAAGGGGACAAAGAAACACACGCAGCAACAGAGCAACAGTAACAACGGTCACAGACAATTCTTACATAGCGCTTACCACATAACAGGCATGGTTCTAAAGTTCTTCACTACCGCAAGCTCACTTATTCCTCAGAAAAACTCTATGAGGGAGGATACTAAAAAGTATCCCCATCTTCCAGATGAGGAAACTGAGGCCAGAAAGGTTAACTGGCTTCCCCAAGATGCCATAGCTGGGCAGAGCTGGGATCTGAATCCAGGTCTACTGGCTCCAGAGTTCAAAAGTTTGGCTATTACCTAGTTAAAGCCTCTTGAAAGCCATCTTATCGAGGACTATAGGCTTGCCCTTGCCCCTCACGACTTCACCTCCAACCACAGTGGCCTTCAGTCTATTCCCTGAAAATGGCAAGCTGGGTCCCACCTCAGGATCTTTGCACTTGTTCCCTCGACTTTTCCCTGCTTGTTGAAGGATCGTAGCTCCTTCTTACTCGTACTAGAGCTATTTCTACCGCACCCTGTCCTCCCTCCTCCTCTTCATCCATCCATCCATCCATCCATCCTTCCAGATTTTTCAATTCTCATTTCCTCCATCCCTCCCTCTGCCCCCACGCTCAAGTGTAAGCCCCGGCCCTTGCCACGAGTCCCTCCCACCACTTAATTCAAGGACAACTCATCCCCAACCCCACTGCAGACCTCTCCAGCTAGAGCAGTCCCAGGGTCCACAGCATCCCCTCGGGGTTCTCCCAGCCCACCATCCTCCAGCCCTGCCATTCATAAGTCAGCCCCACCCCATCCACTCAGGCTCCGCCCCGACACATTAAGACCTACCCTTTCCCTCAAGGCCTGCGCAGGTCCATCAAGCTGGTTCCCTCAAATCCCGCCCCAGACGCGTTTAACCCACACACCAGCCCCTCAGGCTCCGCCCAAATTGATGGAGCTCAGCCTCGGACCCACTAAACCCCTCCCAGCATCCACTAGGCCCTGCCCAATGCCAGACCCCGCCCCCTGGCACATAAGGCCCCGCCCCACTCCCCAAAGGCCGCATCCTCCCTGGGCCCAGACCCCAGACCCCGACTTCGGCCCACCACCCTCACCGTAGGTCTCGGCCATGACTCGGTCGCGGCCGCTTGGGGCCGCAATATGGCGCCGCGGCCGCGCCTGCTCCTCGGCTGGCAGCCGCTCCACTCCGGCTGCAGCCCCGGCTCCTTCCTACTCCCGGGGCCGGCGCCGCCACTTCCGCCTCCACCTCCCTACGGCGCGACCCGCTAGGGCTGAGGGATACCAGGCCACGCTTCCCAGAGGCAGGGATTGGTGAGCTCGACGGCCGGCAGGCGGGACAAAAGGCGAGGATTGGCGGCGCAGAAGGGAGGGGCCAAAGGGGGAGGGACCAAGACGAGCGATTGGCGGAGCTAGTGGGAAGGGACCGTACAGAGATGCCTTGCCGACCTGAGAAACGGATTTGGTCAGGAGTACGGGTGCAGAGTCGAGACTCCGGATTGGGTAGGAGTGGGCTTGGGGGCGGGGACATGGCTGCAAAGAAGGGGGCATGGACAGGATCGACAGAATAACCCTGAAGAACGGCGGATATTGAGCTGGCGAGCGCTCTTTCTGACCTCAAAGGCAAGAAAGAGGAAAACTCGGGGGTGGGGGAGATACGCGCAGGCTAACCTCCCATCTCCCTTTGCAGATGCCTCTATTCTGTGATTTGTGTCTTCCTCATGGTCCGATTCGCTCATTCCCAATAGTCCAACTCCCTCTCGTTAGTCTAGAGAGGACACTATGACCCGCAACCGAGCTGTTCAGGTTATTCTGTCTTCTCATTTGCTTGTGTGTGATATTTAAGTTTAGGAACCCACCTCCAGTACCCAGCATGGAGCGAAGAGCTTTTAGTCAGTGGAATTCTGCCTAGCGACCACTGACGTTACCACGGTCAGGGGGCTGACTGGCTAAATTCAGGAGCCTGGGGAAACAATTTCTTTGTTACCCCCCCCCCCCCAATTAAGACCACAGAGACCCGCATATTGCACTTGGCTGGTATATTTGCATAAAGCCGGGAAGAAAAAAAAAAAAAAAACAGCAGGGACAGTGGTAGACTGAGCTCACTGGCAGTAGAAATCCCATTTCTGAAAAAGAGAAAGGAAAACAGTGGGGAGAAAACCAGCGGTCACACACACCACAAAGGATCTAGTGGTTTTAGCAAAGGCTGTGGCGGCAGGGGCCAGGTTTGGCCAAACGCGTGCAATGCAAATTAGCCCAGAGCCCCTTAATCTTTTCGCCGCTCAATCTGACAGGGACTTAACAATCACTCCCCATTTTACAGAGAAAACTGAGGCAGGGACTTTGTCCCAGCACACACAGCTACGCTGCCGGGGAGCCAAAGGCAGGAGAATCTTTGCTCATTATCCCAACCCTAGGGTCCTCCCTCTGGATCCCCGCCAGCCCCCAAGACACTCACATCTGTCTTCACATCGATTTTGCCAGGTTTCAGGGTCTGGTCCTCACGTACAACACTACTGGGGAAATAGCCCAGGCGAGCAGCTCTATCTCCATAGTAATCTCCCTGAACCTGGAGAGGAAAAATTCAAAGCCAGGTCTGGGAAGATGGCAAACTCATTCCTACTGCAGACCATAGCACTTTTCTTCTTCCTGATCTCCAGATGGTTGGCTCCATCCCTGTCGCTCAGACCTCAGCTTACAGTCACTGCATGGCAGCCCTCCCCGACCACCCAAAGTAGCCACCCAGTCAATGTGTATTAATTCTCAGAGGAGCACATATTTGCTGATTTTTGGATGGCCTGTCTCCTTCTATTAGAATAAAAGGGGTCATTCACTGTTGTATCTTCAGGGTCGGGAACAGAGCCTGGCACTATAGTGGGTGCCCCATGATTGCTCAACAAGGTAAACACCAAGTAGATCACAATACCCCCTCTCCCCTCACCCCTGCCAAACTACTTCAGTCCACCCCCTCAAATTTTCCCTTTGGGTGGAAAATTAGGTCATACTCCCACCCCACCCCATATCCTTTCCTCTTCTGTTCTCTGAAGACTCACACTGCCTCCCCAGAAGAGCCGCCCTCGGCCCTTCAGCTTGGAGAAGACATACACAACTTGGCCCCTGTGTATGGTCAAGAAACGGCAGTCGGGAGCCACGTAGTCCTGAAGGGCCACAGCCATGGAGATAGGGTCTGGGGAAGGAAGAGAAGGGAATGACAGCACCCTCCACACGGGCTGGCCACCCCAGCCCCCAGTCCCCAGCTCTTACAGCTGCATTCCTCATCAGCACACAGCTTGCGGTCAGCCAGCTTGGGCATGGCGTGGCCCCCGACACTGGGCCCCAGGAAGGCAGACAGCAGAATGATGAAAACGAGGAACACTGGTGACCCAGCCATCATGGGCTCCGAGCAAGAAAGTGATCGAGGGGGAAATGGGATCTCTAATTTCCTTATGCCCTCCCTCTCTCCAGCAACACAAGGAAACCTGTGTTCTCCGTGCTTTCTCTGCCCTTAACTAGTCCCAAATTTCGCCCACAACATGGAGAGGCTGCAACCCAGCCAGAACCATTTCAAGGATAGGGTGAGGGCTGCCTGCCCAGATAGGCCCAAAGCAGCCCAGGCCACTCCAAGTGCCAACCACCCCCCACCCCCTCAACAATACAGGTTGAGATATTCAATTCCATCTTCTCTTAAGGCTGCTTGGGTACCTGGGCCCCTTCCACAAACAGAAACAGGGAGCTAGTACAGAAAACTACCTTGGAATTTCCTGTGCTTGAAGACAGAACAAGGCAGCCTTTTGATCGCCAGAAACAGACCCCACCCTCAAGGACCAAGTATTTTATGCTGGATCTTAAGGCTAGTAATGCCCTCCCATAATCACTATTTATCTTCCCAAGGCACTTCCTGACTGGGTGACCTGGGCTAAGCAATTTTTCTGAGAGCCTCGCCTACTTCTCTGTAAAATGGGGATCAGGAAAGCAAAGTCATTCAGAGTACTCAGCACATAATTTTTATCTTATTAACTCAAATGGACACTCTGCATCACCTTAAGAGGGCTGTTATAACCCCTCGCCATGGAAATGGCAGGGAGAGCCTTCAGAAACTTGCTCAAGGTTAGAGCCAGAAGCAGAAAGGCCAGATCTGGCTCCAGGCCCACACCCGTGAGAGTGTGGAGCTGTGGAGCTGTCTGTTGCCCAAGGTCAAGAGAAAGTGGGGGGAGGGGGATCCGAACTCAAGTCTCAACCTCTAAAACTGTTTCCAATAGATCTCCGTGCCCAGGTCATTCTCCTGGGTGGCATCTCCTGTCCTCGAGCATTCTTACCTTTGGCGTCAAGTCCAAACTTTTGTGAGGGGGAAGTAAATTGGGCTTGGGGGTGGAGCAGAATTCATCAAGGTCAGAGCCTGGACCTCAGCCATCTCTGTGCCCTCCAATACCCAGCACCGCCACCATGGACAGGAGAAACTGCTCTGCTCCAAAGTCACGTCCAATGACCGGCCTTCCTTGATCACCTGGGACTGTTCCCAGCCCTACCACCCCAGCTGTCTTATCAGAACATAGTATTTGCAGTTGGCTTGTGTATTTCATTCACCACTGTGTCCTGTGCCGAGAACGGTAGGTACTCGGCAAGTCTTTGCGGAGTTTATAGTGTTTCCTGAGTGCCTGGCAGCAGTGGGTGTGTGTTTGGGGTAGTGGCGTGTACCGACAGTAAGGACCGAAGTACTAACATACAGGAACTCTTCCCTTACAGGAGAAGAAAATGAAGCTTGGAGTCAGGACATCCACTGTTCCTGGGGAACAGCTAGGGAGTGCACCGGGCAGACAATAAAAACCAGGATCTGTGGTTGCCATAGTGGTGGGCGAGATGTTTCCATTTGCCATCAGCAATAAAGACTTGCCTCTTAGTGGAGAGGATTCCTTATCCCTTCAGTCTTTCAGATCCTAAAGGAGAGAGACTGTATTTGGTGCTGTAAGTCTTTATCACTGCAAATGCTGATGTTCCTCTTTAATAGAAAAGAGCAACAGAACAGAAGCAAGCTTGGGATGAGAGCCTCCACAGACGATGACCAGACAGTACTGAACACTGGCTTCAGATATTCATTTCTATGGTCAATTTTCTACTGGCAAATGATCTCGTTTTTCTATGTGCATGGCGTAAGAGTCTTAAACAACACATGTATTTTTTAGTCCATGAAAAAAATTGCCAGGGGTGTCTCATTAAGCATCTGATTTCATTCAGCTCCTAATCTCAGAACCCTGAGATCGAGCCCCAAGTCGGGCTCCCTACTCAGCTGTAAGTCTGCTTGTCCCTCTCCCTCTGTGCCCTCTCCCCATTCTCTCTCAAAAAAATAAATAAAATCTTTAAAAAAAATTTTTTTCCAGATGAGGTGTGTAAGAGACTGCTGAAGAAGGTCCCTCCTTTGATCTCCCTTCTCACCCATAGCTTCAGCTGGGTTAGGTGACTGTCCAATCAGAAATTCCTTTTCCTAGACTCCCCTGCAGCCATGGCACTGGAGGGCATGGTTCAGCCACCTGGCTGAGGCTCCTGGCTGGGCAGGGAAGATTAGTGCTGTTTGAAGTGGCCACACCCTTTGTGCCTGGTCAGTGGCTTCCCATGTGGGAAGGGCACTTCCACTCCTTCCTGAATGCCGGACTGCACCTCAATCAGAGACCGCAAACCTCAACTCAAGTGTCTCAAGCCCAGGCTACCCCTCCTTCTATTCTTCCAATGAGTTCCTGAGCATCCAGTTCCCTTCCTTTTTTTCCTGAAGTATCCAGCATGGTTTCTGGAGCCTGTCACTATGACAGAGGCATTCTTTCTGAAGATTCAAAAAAGGCATAGAAAAACCTCTTTCTTGACACTCTTATCATGTTAGGAAAAAAACATACGAATCTACAAAATGAATAATGTGCCCTTAAATTTAGGTGGCATCCTTGCATAGTACACGACCTGCCCAACTGTACATGGCATTCGGGGTTTCCATTTCCAGCTCTGAATGCTCAAAGGAGACAAAAGAGGAATTTTTCCAAACCGGTAAAGATGCCTAAAGCTTAGACAAAGTTACTACACTATTCTGTGTTTCCCCAGGGTTGCAAACCCCAACATGCTAAGAGGTCCAAACACCCAGAATATTCTGATGTGTAAGAAAAGAAGGCACAGAGCATAAGAAAATAAAAACGACAAATGGTTGTGAAAAACCAAACCTCAAAAAAACCACTTTAATTCCGGCCTAACAGCGCCAGGTGCAATGTCTGGGGACAGACTCTGGGTACAATGCTGTGTGGCGACCACTCACTCACACACAGCTCTGAGAAGGCCCCCAAGGGGGACTTACCTTCAGGGGGCTGAGCCAAGGGGGGGAAGGGGTGGCCCCAGAACAGGGGGAAGGGGCAGGCAGGGGGAAAAGGTGCTACTTCTTGGCAAAGGAGATCTTCATGGCATTGTTCTGGGTGATCTTGAAACCCTGCAGTGCGTCCCGAGCGGCCCCTGCCTGGACCTCATTGTCAAACTCCACAAAGGCAATGTCGTGCCGCCCAGGGACCAGTCGGACCTCCTTGAAGCCAGGGAACCTGAAAGAAGGGAACAGATCTCAGGGAGCCAGACTCGGCATCTCCCCCGAATGTTCTGGCATTGGGAGTGTAGAGACCAGGGATGCTGCTGAACATCCCACAATGCACCACGGGCGATGATAATCCAGCCCCCAGATGCACACAGTGAGAAGTGGAGGAACCTCAACAGAAACAAGTACACGCAAGACAAACGTGTCATTTAGGGAAATATTTTAACGTGAACACCTATGCCTTTGTAACCTACAACTTAGATCAAGAAACAGGACACATGGGGCACCTGGGGGGCTTAGTCAGTTAAGCATCTGCCTTCAGCTCAGCTCATAATTCCATGGTCCGGGATCGAGCCCCAGATTGGTCTCCCTGCTCAGTGCCTGCTTGGGCTCTCTCTCTCTCTGCCTCAAAGTCTTTTAAAAATAAAAATAAATTTTAAAAAAATTAAGAAAAAGAAACAGGAGGGGTGCCTGGGTGGCTCAGTGGGTTAAGCCTCTGCCTTCGGCTCAGGTCATGATCCCAGGGTCCTGGGATCGAGCCCTGCATAGGGCTCTCTGCTCAGCAGGGAGCCTGCTTCCCTTCCTCTCTCTCTGCCTACTTGTGATCTCTATCAAATAAATAAAATCTTAAAAAAAAAAATAAATAAAATAAAGAAACAGGACACTGCCCCCCCATGTCCTTCCCCAATCATAACCCACCCACCCTGTTCCGGGAATAACACTACCCTTTTTACGATCCACTGTTTCTCTCATTTCCCTGTTTTCTTCCCTAACTTCCTTCCCCATTGGGCAACCATGCTCACGGTTGCTGGGTACACTTTCTTCTGCCGCTGTTCTTACAAAGTACGTATTGTTTTACAGAAGGATATACGTGTGGTACTGTTTTTTTCTGTCTTACGGAATTTCGCAAAATTCTCTGTTCCTCCAGCTTACCCCAGAGCAGACCACAGCCGAGGAGCACGTCTAACCTCTCCCATCTCCCCAATTCCCCAGCAGCCGGAGAAATGAGGTCCATCCCCACCACACCCCTTAGGACTTGTCTTTTTTTTTTTTAAGATTCCATTTATCTATTTGACAGAGAGATTTATTTATTTGACAGGCAGAGAGGCAGGCATGGGGGTGGGAAGCAGGCTCCCCTCCGAGCAGAGAGCCCAATGTGAGGCTCGATCCCAGGACCCCGAGACCACGACCTGAGCTGAAGGCAGAGGCTTGAGCCACCCAGGCGCCCAGAACTTGTCTTAAGAGTATCTTTAGGGGGCACCTGGGGGCTCAGTTGGTTAAGCGTCTGCCTTCGGCTCAGGTCATGATCCTGGAATCCCAGAATCGGGCTCCCTGCTCAGCAGGGAGTCTGCTTCTCCCTCTGACCCTCCCCTGCCTTGTGCTCTGGCTCTCTCTCAAATAAATAAAACCTTCCAACTGCTAGGTACCACCTCACCATTATTTTATATGCACCTAGCAATTTTCTGATTTAAAGACTAGAAAGTGGCGGCCCAGGGCCTCCCCCACCCCTCACGAAGTCAAAGAAGGTCCCACACTGCTATGCCCTAGGCTTGCCACTACTGCACCTCCTTGGCCATGGGCCTGGCCTCAGTTTCCACATTTTAGGCCTCCAGTCACTGTCCTGTCTGCAAATCCCAAGCTGGCTCAGGACGCCACCAGCCTGGACATGGTGCCATCTCCTGGCCATTGCCCTCTGGCCCGTGCCCAGCACCCAGCCCCACTTACTGGTTGAAAAGCATGGACAGCATGAGCTCGTTGGTCTCCTCGGGCAAGTTGGTAAGGAATAGGATGTGATTTGGTGGATTTTCTGAAAGCTGCAAGGGAGTGACAGAGCCATGAGTCTAGTGCGGGACCTACTGCCTTTCTGTTTCCCAGCACCGCCCTGCTTGAATTCTTTCTGGGCCCTTCACCTGACATCCCTGAGATTGCCTGTCTATACCACCTTGCCCCCAGCAGGAAACAAGCCACAAAGAGCACTGCTGTAGCCATCAGCAGGCTCTCTGCAGTTCACTGAGTCTGACTAGGTTCTGGTCGC